GTTTTCCCGCGCTGCGCCGCCGCCCGGCGAGACCCCCCTGAGGGGTGGCTGGCGGCGCCGCGCGGAGGGGTGGGTGTTCTCCTTGTCCTCAGGATAACGTGCTTCTCGTATCCTACCTGAATGAAGCTCTATAGTACCGCGATTCCGTTTGTATTTTTGATGGCTGTCCTACCCTTTGTGATTCTTCAGGACTTGGCCTTCAGAGAGCGTTGAAGGCGTACCCGATACCCACCATAAGCAGTGTCAGTCATGAACGGAAGGAAACTTGGGGTTTAAAGCACTTAAGCAGTAAGGGAAGATGGTAGCTAGAGCTTCAGCTCGTTCAGAAATAGTTTGTTATATGCTGTCTGAAGCATCCTTACTCTAAGGAAAGCTGAGGTCTGGTTTGGCTCATCCAGCAATAATCACTTTGTGGGAGCCTCTTCACTTCTCAGTAAAAGTCAACAAGCTGGCAGTATCGGATCGCTACAACTCAGTGCTGGTTTTTGGATGTGGTTTATCTTGGCAACCCAACTATATCATTCGTGGCGTGTTGCTGAAATGTAATTAGGGTGTGTGGTTCCTGGTCCCTTGTTTGAGGGTGGGAAAAGAAAAGTTTGCTTTGTAGTCCTTGTTCGCAGCTCCGCAGAGGAGTCACATTTCTTTCTGCTCATTCCCTGCTCTTTCTGGGAAAAGCTCAGTGGAGAGAAAGTCATGCCACATAACTGCAAACAGGTAACAAAATCAACCACCGATAAGAGAAAATGCTTGTGGGTTGAGGTTCCCCACCAAGAATTCAAGACACAGTAATTAAGTTCTTTGTTTCCTCTTGTGCTTGTCTACTGAGCAGAAAACGTCAGTAATATGCTTAGGAGAAAGGAAAAAATAAAGTCAATATAAGTTTTTAGAAGAACTGGAAGAGTAGTTGCTCTCGTCATTTGAACTGTCTAAAACTAACAATAATGCATTTTTACGTGCTCTTGCTTCTTCAAGAGGGAAAGGTAAAGCAACATTAAACGATGGTCATTAAGCCCTCTGCAGAATTTTATGTCCATGAAGACTTGGCTAATGATATAGCTTCTGACATCAGTTTTCAGTCAAATCTCTAAGTAGGTATTTAGAACACAGAAAACACTTGATATTTAAAAAATACTATATAGAATTGTGCACAGGACTGAGAAATTTAAATGATAAAAGTATAGGGCATGAAAATTAAATGCAGTAAATCTAACCAAGTCCTTAGGTAAAATTATATAGCTGATGTTGTTCGTAATGTCATTTTGGACTTGCTCAGTTATTTGGATTGCTCTAGGCATCATACATTATAGCTAATGCTGTTTATTAACAGATACTGTATTTGTAACTGAATTTTCCTTAATGAAAACTGTATTCTGTAATTCATGTCACTGAAATATGAATGCTTTAGATATAGCTGCTGCTCTTCATGAGGTGAAGAAATAATATGAAATAGTAGCGTTTGTGTTACTGTATTAAGTAAACTAGGTAAATGCAGTTAGATGCATTGTTAATAAGGAAGAACTTGCTATCGTAAGTCATTGGCTTCTGGGAATTGAAAAATTCATGTTAAATTGAGAAAAATGCTACTCAGCCTAGATGTAGGTAGTTCTAGAACAAAGATAGCAGGTTATAGAGAAGTTGAGCAATGTGGTTTTAACAAAGACATACTAATCAGGAGGTATACTTCTGCATGTCATGAGTTTGACAATATAACCGCATCGTGACAAAATATCAATGGATTTTTGTAACTTGACTAAGCTGGTCTGCTCTTCCGTTTTCTCAAGTAGGTGATATAGGCTCAATTGGCTTCTGTGATTTGATGTATTGCTGGCTTTGTTTTTTAAGGAAATGTAAGTATTTACATTTTGAAGAACTCTTTAAAGCATCTTTATGGATCAACTCTGATACTGCTTTCTGTTCTGCATAATAATACGTTTTACGGGACTGGATGTTTGGTGTGCACTAAAAGCACAAGTTTAAAGCATATTTTCTACAAGAGCTGGCATGGAAATTATATTCTGAGTAATGCAGAAATTATCTTGAATATTGTTTCATCTCAAAGTGTAGAGAATATTAAACAAGTTATACATGCTCAGATGCTGTTCTATTTCTTTCAGTCATTGCAAAGCTCCCTTTAAGATGGGTTGTCTTTGCTCACCAGTTTCTTTGAACCTGGGCATTCAAAACTGCATTTTATAGAGCAATTTCCAAAGTACTATCTACAGTACCTCTTTGTGTAAATGAGTTTGTACCTAGTCCCATTTCTCTGTAAATGGTGTAGAAAAGGTCATAAATTTATAAGGGCTAAAACTTTGCACTTACAAGAAGGTGGGAAGGAACTCATACACCACACTTAAATTATGCGTTATCCTTGGGTAAAGCAGGTGTGAAAGAATATTGTCCCTCCAGTTTGCCTAGATGCTGTCAGATGACTAATGATCGTGACTGTTTTTTAAGCTGTTAACAACTAACCTGTGGGTTTTTCCCTGCCCTCCTGCCTCACAAAGTATTCATTTGAGTTCTTGTCATGGTGCTCTGGTGGACTCAGAATGTTTCTGGTTCTGAAGTGATACAGGTGCCACTGTGTGAATAATTTAAGTTCAGAAAGAGTGGAGGGATTGTGACTGGTGACACTGCTAGATGGATGAATGAAGTGAAAGTTGGATTAATAGATGAATATGGCAAGAATGAGGAGGAGAGTCAATGTTGTTATGACATACCAATTTATAAAAATGATTACGAAGCCTAAGAGTCTAGAAATACTGGGATTCCGAAGGACAATTTATTGATGAGAAAAAGAAAGCATAATTCATAACAGTACTGAGAATTAATACAAGAAGATTCAAGTTATCTTGCAGCTGACTGTTGAAGGCAGAAATACTTACTGAGAAAGGAAACATGAGAATAAAAGCTATAGTCTGTCATCATATATCTTTGAATGTTAGAACAACAGGAAAAGATTAAAGAGAAGATGGTAGGAAACATTTTGAAAACTTAGCTGGGTATTTTTTATTTTTTAAAAAAACAAACCGCCACAAAACGGTTTTCAATTTTGCTGCATTTTGGATCATGTTCTTGGAAAATAGTGTGGATTTAGGACCTTACAAAATGTCTTGTTAATTAGTATTATGTTGTTTAGTGATTTATGCATGCATAAATTTTAAAACTATTTTAAATAACTGTAACTGAGTGATAAAAACTTCCAAAGCAGTAGGATGTTTGTACTGAGAGTTATGTTAAATACACATGATGGTATAGAGGCTGTAATCGAAAGTAAAAGAAGTATGGAGAAGGGCACAGAGGATGGTGTTTGGATATGCAGTTTTAGGCTTTTTGGCTTAACTGGCTTAAAATCTGCCTGTTGTCTTCAGGCTTAATGTACTTTGCTACTTTACTGGAGCCTTGAGTGACTACAGTGGTGTTTTCTGATAACTTTTTAGTAAGCCAATATGAAGCAATGAGCTTACTGAAAATGGTAAATTTACTGATAGACCATGAAGAGATTTTTAAGATGTCTTTGTTATAGCTGCTGATTTCTTTGTTCTTTCTGAAAGGAAACTGGAATGGCAGTTTCTAATGCTTCGTCTACTATGATATCCTTATCTCGGAACAGGAGACTTCACAGTATGGGATGTGGACCATCTAGTAAGTTATTTATGTTTCTACATGAAATAGTTTAACTTGTCTGTTACGTTCCACATAATTTAATTATTTTGATGAAGAAAAAAACCTAAAATAGCTAATACAGGCCTTCGGGGTAAGGAAACTCTACCTTTATTGATCTCTGAGGACTGCAGGAGTGACAATTTACCATGGGGTTTGTTTTAAGTTTACCCTTGGTTCTGGTTTGATCATTTGAATGACTGTCTCTAACTAGTTTTTCTAACAGAGCTTTTAGCAGGGCAGTCTGCTATTGTAACGATATACTGAAAAGTGTGGCTTGCTGTGTAGTTGCTATTAAATTACCAGTCCTTTATCTCTTCTGTGCTTGGAGGTTTTTTGTTTGCTAAAAGCACCATCTATGGGTGCTTTTTGTGTGTAATCTATGGGTTAGCAGGATGAGGTACTCTCAGCCACCAGCTTGCAGTGGCAGGCATTTGCTTGAGGAATTTGTATCTTGGCGCTTTTGGTTCATCTTATTGTCAGCAGAGGACAGGCTTTTCATCTCTGCTCAAGGGTAAAGGTCCTCTGGGTTAGCTCTGTTGTAGAGCCTGTGCAACGCTTGTCTTGTACGAAGAAGAAACATGAGGCAAAGTAATTCAGAATAGTTTTAGGGATGTGAAACCTTTAGTTTCTCTTCAGTCAGCTTGATTGGTTGCATTGGGCCTGGGACCTACCTAATAATGAATTGTCTGGGTTTGCGTCCTCTGGCTTTATAGCACAAAATGCAAGACTGGACACTTGTCAGTTGTGATTAGGGTTGTGCCATCTCCAAAAGCTTGTAATTTCTTTAATACAATACTGTTTTCAGCACCTTTTGAGATGTGTGTGGCTAAATGTGGAGGGAAAAATAGAAGCATTTAGAGAAGCATAGTATTACTCAAATAAAAAAATGTTATGTATGAACCTCTCTGGTACGTGAAAAATAATATATGTATGTATTGCATATGACTGCTCTACAAATGTAGCAGTCTATACCAGTAAAGCTCCTCTGCTTTTCAGGATTGCACCAGCTTATTGACCAAGAAGTAGATATTTTCTTATCTCTACTTTTTTAATAACCCAATAAAGCAGCTTCCAAAGAGATGTGCAAATTATGTGGAGAAATTTGTTGCCATAATGAATTTGTTCCCTGGGTTTATTTTTTGCGAAAATTTCTTTAATGGGACTAGCGAATTTTGTTATACTTTAGAACAACCAGCTAGAAAAAACACTTTTAAGATGCATTGTCCTATTTAACAGAACTTATGAAAAGGGTCCGTGTGCAAGTTCACTGTATCTTAAATAGGCCTAATATTTAAGAAAGGGAAGAACTAATCTATAGGGAGGGAGAATTAAGTGGGTAGCAAGTATCTCATGCTAACTCATCACATATCTAAGCTTTTAAAGGAGGATGTAGTTATGGCAAGAATTAGGTTTCATTGCCCTCTGCAGATGTAATAGGATAAAATTCCTGCTTTCTTTCTGATTCCTATTTCTATGGGGCAAAAATATTCATAAGGATTTTACATTTCTGATGTACTTGCTTTGGCAACACAATGTTGTTGAAGATATGCTTTAAAAATTATTGATGATTTTCCATACTTGAAGGCATATAAAATCAGGATTATTAAACTCTCTAAACAGTGGAATAACTAGACATGGAAGTTTTGTTTCTAAGTCGCAATAAACTCAGTGTGGGAAATGGGATCCATTGTCTGTGTACAAAAGACATTAAAAACAAAACAAAAGAACAACCTGATCTGCTTTGTGCATGTTGTATAGCATGCTCTAAATGTTTGGAACAATAGTTTTGTTTTGGCCCTTCCTGTTTGAAGAGAGATGCAGGCTGCTATACCTCTGCCCATGGACTGGGATTTGCACCAATTGGGAGATATGTGAAATTCTAAATGTTTTGGGTTTATTTTTTTAAACCAGCAAGGTAGGTTATCGGCCTCTTTCTCCAGTTTAGTGATGTCTCTATGGGTATTATGACATACTTAGAACACTGATTATAATGGACTTAAATTTCATCCTATTACAGTCAGTTCTTGTTGCAATAACTTTTTTCTTGCTTCCTATAATTATATATAGATAAACATTTTACATGGAATTTTTGTACAGTGGGTGCATGATTTATTGTGCAATAGAACTCTACCTTTTGTGTCATATTAGTCAACTGAAAGTAGTTTAGAAAGTGATGTAATATCTTATATGTTAATGGAACAAATAAGTTGGTATAGTAAAAGTAAATGCCAGGAGATAAATTCCTTAGTTTCTTGTACCCAGGGAATATAGGATTTTAGTCTTGAAATGTTTATCAGAATAATTGACAGCAGTTAACATGTAGTTTACATAACTGTTAAACTTCTAACTTAATTTCATACAATCTGGTTTTCATGGAAAGTTAAAAGAAAAAATCCAAAACAATCAAACAACACAAAACCTAAACAAAAAAAAGAGCTAATGCATATTAAGAACCTGGGGCAGGCAAAACACATTATTTCTGGAAGTAAGTTTCAAACTACTGCTGAAAATTCTTAACAGGTTACACAGATTTTTTGTGTTGAAATGCTGCAGCAGGTAGGAGTGTCTAGTGTTTAAAGTCACTGTTACTATAGAAGATACTTGTTCCTTACAATATGTGTGCTGATTTCAAGATATGTACCAGAGCAGAAAATCTGAAGCTAACTGGAAGGAAGGCTCTGGGTATTGAAGGATTGAAATTACATCCTACTCATTCACCTCAATCTTAAAACCAAAAATTTTACAACCTGGTGTAACGAGATCTTTGTCCTCATTTCAAGGCTGTATTGCATCCTGCCGAAGCCTGTGTGCCACAGAAAACTGTGCCATTACAGGCAGATGCTTTAAAAAGACTATGAAGTTGAAGGATAAAAGATAATGCAAGAAATATTTGTTGTATTAGTTCTCTAGTCAAAAGGGCACCTGAAAGCTTTCTAGAGAAAGCACACAATGGAAATTATGCAGATAAAATTAAAAGACTTCAAGAATGGTGATGGCAAAAGCTTAATTATTCAATTTTAAGCGTATCTTTTACTCTGTTACATATGGCTGTAGGTCTAGTTGATGTTTCTTGTGGATTCTTAGCCCAAACTGCTTTGTTTTTTCATTTTTCCATTTCAGAATAAAATATGCTGATTTTAAATAATTGATATTTTTAGTACTTTAATAACCTTCAGGCAGACCTCTCTTCTACATGTTCATAAAGCTTTTAAAATGTGTCATCTTTTAAAAAATCCTGAAAACTATAAAGTCTTTTGTCTATTTCTGCGAATTGCTTTGGAGCTCTGAAACTGTTGGGGCCAAAGTTGGTAAATGGGCAGAATCATAAGAACTGAGGGAACAGAGTGGACCTTGTACCTTGTAGCAGGAACCCCCTTATTTGCAGGACAAGGCTGTGAGACAAGACACACACCAATATGGTTGACAGTCAAGCTCCAACGTTTATTAGAAAAACAAGTCCCTATATATTCTTGTGACAGCAAATCCATGTGTTGCTCTGGCACATGCTCATTTCAAAAACTCGTTCCTCACTTTCAACAAGTGCAACTAAGTGTGCACAACCGGTAGATAAATTTCTGCTTTGTTATTCTAAAGATTCCTTTCTTATCTGTTTCTTCCCTATTGAGCATGAATTCTTTTGCTTTTAGCCGTCGTTAATCTAGATGATGTTAATCTTCTAACACAAGTGCATCATTAATTTAGACATCGTTAATCTTCTAACTTAAATGCTGATGGCACTTTTACATTGTCAGTGACGCAGATGGTTCGCGACTCGACATAGGCACCCACAGTACCTACCTATCTTAAGTCAAGCTTAAGTAAAACTCGATCACTTTCAGCTCTCTAATCTTTCATACTTCAACTTTTCTGTCCAAGTGAATCTAACAATGAATATCCCGAAAGGAAATGTGTCTTCAGTGATTTGCATTAAGGCAAGTTTTTCTTGCCATGTCTTAAAAAGCAGTAACAAAATACAGAATTCCAACACTAGCAAATGCTTAATGTTTTACAAAAGAATACCCATAGGAAGGTTCACATAAATCAAAAATCTTCAAGAATTAATAGTGTGTTTATGATAAAGATGTATTATAATGAAGTCAATGAATTTTGGAGCATCAGGATTCATGTGATGATTAAAACAAAACCCAAGTATTTCAAAGCTGACATGCATGGTAATTTGAGTAGTCAGGCATGTTCTTGAATGTGTTGGCTTGCTTTTAATTTGTGAAAAAACTTTAATTTAGATGTCTCTTTGGTTTAGTTATGGGATACAGATACATACTTTCTTTGCAGTTAACCTCTTTGTGCTCCAAGAGGAGAGCTGTTCTTTATCTCATGTCATGCTGAAGGCCTTCACATTATATAAATTATTTTCAGCTATACTTATTTTATTTCTAATAAACATGTTAGATCAGAAGAAAAAGTCATGTGTGAGTATACCTGGACATAGAGTTGAATCACAGAATCATCTAGGTTGGAAAGGACCTTGAAGATCATCTCATCCAACTGTTCACCTAGCACTGACAGTTCCCAACTACAGCATATCCTTAAGTGCTAAATCGACCCAGCTCTTAAACCCCTCCAGGAATGGGGACTCCACCACCTCCCTGGGCAGCCCATTCCCCTTCTGGAAAGAAATACTTCCTAATATCTAGTCTAAACTTTCCCTGGCGCAACTTGAGGCCATTCCCTCTTGTCCTGTTGCTTATTACTTGGTTAAAGAGGCTCAAACCCAGCTCTCTGTAGCTTCCTTTCAGGTAGTTGTAGGGGATGATAAGGTATCACCTCAGCTTCCTCTTCTCCAGACTAAACTCCCCCCAGTTCCCTCAGCTGATCCTCATATGACATGTGCTCCAGACCCTGCACCAGCTTTGTTGCCCTTCTCTGGACACGCTCGAGTCATTCAGTGTCTTTTTGTAGTGAGGGGCTCAAAACTGAACACAGAAATTGAGGGGCGGCCTCACCAGTGCCGAGTACAG